TTTGCCAAGCAGCAGAATATCGAAGTCTTTTGGGATCGGGCGTCGATCATTAAAGCCACAAAATCCAGGCAGGCTGTGAAACATCTGGAAAAACTAGAAATTCACAAGGCGCAAATGCACACAAGCTGTATTAATCATAGGGATGCTGACGGATTATCGTCGGCATGGAAATCCTTCTACGATGAGTGACGTAATTTATGTAAGCGGGAAGATTATATAAGATAATTTTTATTGGATGCATATAATTTATTTTATTTCTTTATTTAGTTTTAACTTTTATAATTCTTAAGATTATTTAAACTTGGTAAATGTTAACGTATTTACATATATTTATGTAACCGCTTTTTGAATTTCGTTTTACGTAATTTTCGAATTTCTTCGTTCGATTCACAAATGTTAACTGATGATGATCGCTTAAAGCGTTCGAAAGCGTTTTTAAATATTAAAAAAACGATTTGCTGGATGTTTAAAGGTGTTGATTTTTATTTATTGTGTGGTTCCAGTAAGGAAAGTATTTTATTTATGTAGGACAACTAATTCACATAGATCACTGGTAGCCTACTTCCATGGATATGCTTTGTTTTTGAAGGTAAATGCAAATGCAGGTGAAAAAGGAGGTATAACACATCATGTATACAGCAGATCCTGGAGGTATAATTAGGATCTGCTGGTGATAAATGTATGCTTTGTGAATAATAGCAAACAGGAAATCTCACAATGCGCAAAAGCAGGCTCTAGATGAATTGAAGGGTACATAGATACAAACTTGAATGCCATTAGGTTCTTTCGACATTGAGATGCTCCTCTAATGCAATAAATGTTTAGAATATCAAAATGTCCTTATCTTATAAAAAGCGTAAGTTCCTGGACTTCAAATACTACTTGTACTTACATGTTAAGTACACTAAGGGAATTCAGGCAGTAAATTGTTGTTGGAAGATCAGCAACAAACCCTGGAGACTGGGGACCTCCCAGATCTTTTATCACTTTGCTCTTTTATAGGATTTCTTCTCCTGAATCAGGATATACCCAAATTTGGTAAAATGGATGAAGAATGTGATGATTGTTCAATCCCAAATTTTGCTTGTTGACTTCCTTGGGTGAGTAGTTGCTCCAGGAAATTATCATTTTGAAAGAAAGTATTGTCAAAAGATAAAATTTCATGAACTTCCTTGTTGATTTCTACAATTTTTAGCTTTTTTTAACTTTTTAATTTAATTCAAATATAAATTTTTGGAAACAATAGTCTGGGATCTCATAATTATCAGATACTACCATAAACTAAGAAAGGTTCATAAAGATGTAGCAGTTGCCAACCACATCAGGATTGCCTAGAGAAGAAACCCCAGTGTGTACAGCTTCATTAAATGGCCCATGCATGAGGAGGATATTCTCTGAGGAATAATTGTGCAGGCCTGGCTTTGAGAAATTCCAGAATTTTCTGTCACTCACATATGAGGAGGAAAATGTCTCAGTCAGTCATGGCATATGATGACTATATACTGGCTGTTGTTGGATATTTATTGGCAACAAATTGTATTAAAACTCTCATGAAAAAGCATGTGCATAGTAGTGTATGGTGAATGGCTGAAAAAAAAGGCTCTCTCAAATAAAAATAAATTTCATGCCAATAATTATATATAAAATAAACAATGCTGTCTTTCCATTTTAAAATTCTTTAAATAACACTTTAACGATAGTGGAATTACACTCTAGCAAAATTTTTGTTATTGCTAAAGTTATTGTTATTTCTTTATATACCTGAAGATGTCTGTTATAAACAGATGAAAACATTAGTAAAAATGTGTTAATTTCAGATATGTTGGTATAGGTGTTTTTTATGTGTTTAAATTAAAATCAAGTGTTGTAAAGTTATTGATACTGTTTGAAGACTGGTCTTCCAAACATTTGCTCCAGAAGTAGAAAAATGCTGCTCAAACAAAAACATTCCTTTCAATGTTCTACTTGTACTACATAATGCCCCTAGTCATCCACAACTTTTTGAGAATTTTTACAACAATATAAAGGTGGTTAATATGCCTCCTAATACATCCTCTTGGATATTAAATTGTTGGATTGATCTGAGCCTAGTGTTAGTGGGTCAAGTCAGTATAGTCTATCCTACAGTCAATGAATCAAGGTGTAATTAGCAAATTTTAAAGCATTCTATCTATGCAGAACCAGGCTGTGAAAGAGACAGAAAAGGAGAATGGAGTAACACTTAGGGAGTTCTGGAAGAACTATAACAGGTACAAAGCAATAAAAACATTGATGTTGTACTGGTGTAAAGTAACAAATAAAAATTAAATTTATTTGCTTTGTGGCAGACAAGACACTCAATTGTTAAAAGTGAATAATAATTAACTTTATAGCTGAAAATTTTGATTTTGACTGCAAAAAATGAAGATTTTTCTAATATATAATGCATCTATTGCTAATTTAAAAGAACACACTGTTTCTGAGCAATTATTCAAACTCAATTATTCAAAATTTGAGTAGTGTACAGTAAGTGTTATGTTTATAAGTATTTTATTATTTGTCAGTGATGTATCTGCAAATGTGAAAGCAAAACACTTCAAGGTTTAAATCCAAAGCTTATTCATACAACTTACTTGGCTTGTGGTTTTAATGTGATTACTGGAAATATCTGGTCTCGGTTCTCCAATGGTAATACATTCATCTCAAATATGAAGAAAGTGTGCAAGAGAGTTACATTATTAAAGAAATTAAATCCAAATTTAGCTTTATTTTCAGAGCTAGTTATGCATTCTTGTACCTGGCTTTAAAGGCTTAACTTATTGGTTCAGTGACAAGAACAGTTGCCAGAACTGTAGCTTATTGTTTGGATAATTTCAAAACACTAGTCTTGTGTCTAGATCATGTCAAATATGGCCATTGTATTACTATTTATATTTTGCATGAACTTTGGAACCCAAACATAGAATGAAATATTGTTTATTTCAGCTTATTTTTCACTTCTTATTAAGGCAATAACTAAATTAGAAAATGAGAATCTATAGCTAACAGAAGCAATGGGAATAATTAGAGATGTTGAGGAGAAGTCTTTGGCAGTTTCTCAAAGAAGTAGGAATGCTTATCCAGAATTTAAAGTCAGTTACAGAAAGCAATTCTGGTTTAAAAGAGCATAATGACATTAATGCTATTTTGAGTGGAAACAATCAAATGCATTCAATGTTATTAAATAGAGAAATGCAAGCATTAAAATGTGCTGTTACTACAAGTGTTTAGTCAGTATAAGACTACAGGGTATCCCAAAAGTTTCCATACATATAAAGGTGAAATGTAACTTTATTCACAAAACATTAAAATGGCAGCATTAAGATTTGTGTCAGTGGATTGACGGAATAAGGCAATGGAACACATGGGTGATATGCCAATGGGGTAACTTCTAGCAGGACTTTCTATGTGAAACTGGATTCTGTTTAGGTGTTAGACACATGAAGAAAACCCAGAACACTGTATGGTGGCCAGCCCATTGATCAGGCATGAACCAATGACCAACTACCAGTGTTCAATGGTTTTATTTATTCAGCCACTGTTTAGCTTGATTTGTGTTACTGTATGGAGACTTTTGGGACACCCTGTATTTGTGCAACAACGGAAAGATTTCCAACCAAAAGCTTGTCTCTGAATGTTGTAATTTATTCTAATATATAAAAAATCTGTGGCAAAACTATTGCTTGATTTAAAATGCTTAAAAAATTTCAATAAATCATTAAATGCATATTTTTTGGAATATTTTGGCTTTTTAAAACAAATATTAATTGCATATTTTAGCTCAATTTTATGGCATAATTTCCTAATAATNAGTTATTTTTACCGTTGTTTACGGATACTGCCACAATTTTTATAGGAATCATAACTATAGGAAACGGTTTTATAGGGGGATCTACTGTATGTATTTCCACTCAATTGTAATGTTCCCAGGCTTTTGTGTAGCGTGTGTGGTATCACACCTGTACAGGAGATAACGACAGGTACAATAAGCACCCTATCCATCCTCCACAGATGCCTTATTTCCTGGGCGAGTTCTGTGTACTTGCTGATTTTTTTAGTGCATGTGTTTTGTATATTGTGTGTGTTTGGAATTGATATGTCTATAATGTTTGTGATTTTATAGTGTTTGTCAATGAGTGTGATGTCTGGTCTGTTCTGGTAAATTGTTTTATCTGGGATTGTGGCTCTGTCATAATACATTTTGTGCATGTTGTTTTCCAATACTGTCTGTGGAATGCATTTGTAGTAAGGTTTGTGGATGTCTAATAATTTGTGTTTGTTTGCAGTCTCTTGATTTATTACATTTGCTACTTGATTATGTTTATGTAAATAATTTGTCTGTGTCAAGAGCTTGCAACCAGAAGTGATGTGTTGTATAGTTTCTGGTATGATGTGACATTTTCTGCATGTCATTTGAGATAGTTCCCGGCAGTCATATATAACAGAGGGAAAGTATAGCAATCGGTCAAAAAATGATCCCCAAGATTTTTACATTTTTGGACTAAGGACACCTTGAAACATCAAAAAATGCAAAAAAATTCAGGGGTAATTTCTGTATGTGTGGATGTGATGCAATTTTGTTAACTGTATTTGAAGTTTAATAACTCCTGTGGTTTTTGTCAAGAATTTCTGAAATTTTGCAGGAATGTTTGTTTATTAGGTGGATTGATGCTATTAAATTTTGGTGATTAAAAGTTGAGGGAGTGGGAAGATAATGGGGTTTGTATTTCCAATAGGTTGTATTTAATGATGATTTTAGTCATTATTAGCATTTACAATTTTTTATAAAACCCATTTTTACCTTCAAAATTAAGCTTTTTGCCATAATAGTTAAAAAAATAAAGTTTTTTAACTATTATAACAGACAACAAATGATAACAGATGGCACTACCAAAATTTTAAATTTTTCTGGGAAAGTTGAGCAACTTGTTGCTTGATTATTATTATAGTTTGTTTGAATTAAATATAATTATATTTTATAGGTTCTTGCAGTCAGATGACGAAGAAACATGTAATATTTCCCAAAGCAAGATTGCTTCTGCTGTTGATATAACAAGTGCTACAAAGGTAAGTTTTTATAAATATTTTTTAGAAATAAAAGATTTCAAACTTTTCTTCTTGTAAAATAGTTTATTAAATTAATTTTGAATTCCTAATTTTGAAGTTGACTATACTTTATTATTAGAAATGGCTTTTTGTTCACACGATAGTGTTTTCCATTTTATTTTGATTTTTATGAAAAATACAAGAATGATTGATAAATGTATAACATTTTTTTTGATGATCTGTGTGTTTATTACTTTAAGTTTTCAAATAATTATTTAAGTCTGCAAAATAATTTGCTCAATAACAATTGTCTCTTAACTTAGAAATTAATTAATTTTGTTATCGGGCTGAGAATAAAGTGTTCATTCCAATCTATTACATAGTGACTACTTTCCTGTTCTGCTCAGGAAAACTATGTCAGATAGACCTATTGTTTGCAACCTTTGATGGCAGATACAAATAGCAAACTGGGGTCTTCTATGTACCACTGTGGCCTCTGTAATTGAAAGTATGATTTAAGATGTGGATTTTAATATAGTAATAGAACAGTGACACAAAAAATCACTGATGCAGCTGAACAATCCTTCAGAAAGTCTCCTACCAGTTTATGATGATATCCAAAACTGTGGTGGCACCATGAATGTGCCATATCACATAAAACACAATGAAAGACATTGGGCAATTTTATATAATATCTCACTCTGAGCAATTTAACAGTATATAAAAGAGCAAAGGTTAACTTTAGACAAACTCAGAAGGAATTCTGGAGAAAGTCTGTGTCTGGAATATCTGCTTCAATTCCAAGACAGTATGGAACTACATTTGCAAAATCACTGAAAAATATAAACCTCATGCTCACTCTGCTGAAGAATAATGGCAACATAACTTCAGATCCACAAGGAATTGCCACACTTCTGGCATCAATATTTTCATACATAGTCAGTTCTGTTTATTATATAAACAAGAACTTCTGTGTGTACCAACAAGATCAACTATGGCATGCTTCATCTTTCTACAATCTTATTCTCATGTTTTTAATACTGTATTATACAATAGAATATGAATGTTTTTTGATATTAATTATGTTTAGTTTTAAAAAGTTTGAACTGAGAGATTTGAAGTTGAGACTTTATTTCAAAAATTGTTTTATCTCTATCAAATATTGGATTCTTAACTCATTTAGTGTCATTGTTTTTATGTAACTAATATTATTTAACTTTAATGGAAGTAATAATGAGAATTTGAGTAGAAGTCTTCCAGGTTTGAATAGAGTAGAAGTCTTCCAGGTTTGAATAGGTTTGAAAGATTAATATTACAGGAATTATAAAGTTTATCATCAGACAAAAAAAATGTGATTTAAAAATATTTATGAAATTTGACTAATTTAACTTTTATTATAAAATTTTTATACTGTCTTTATAAAACTTAATTTATCATTGATTTTTGTTTACAGCATTTTGATTTAAACTTATTTTTTGGTTCATATAAAATGGATTATTCTTTGGAAGGCAGGTAAGAAGTGTTTTCATTTTATTAATTTTAAGTCAGTAATAAATTGTTATAATTATAAAACAAAAGTAAATTCATTTAATAAGTACTAAAATAAATGCATAACAATATATTGTCATAGATAGAATAAATGATGATCCTCTTAGAAATGAAAAACAAATTTTTTGATGAGGAAAACTAATTAAATAAATGGATTGACATGCAGGAAAAAAAGCAAAATATTACATTTCAGAAAAATAAAATAATGAACAGAGATTGTTTTTTTAAAATTTCTTGTATAGTTTCATGAGTATTCCTTTCATTCCAACAGTTTTTAAGTTAGCATGTCCTTCTCTCACTGGAAGAAGGTTCCAGCTGACCAAATTTACTTTGTGCCAGTATGTGAAAATTAGTGATAAAAGTTATAGTGATAAAAGTTTCAGATATATTTTTCTACATTATTTACATTTATGACAGTTTTTAAATATTGTAATTAAAACCATTTACACCCCTTACTCCAGCACATAAAATTTAATGAATACACAAATATTTTCAGTTACTTCAAGAGGCCTTCATCAGGCAAGAGAGCCATTTTCTACATTGAACAAGATGCAAAACATTTTAAAATGGAACATTCCATACATGCAATGATGCAGTTACAAATGATTCGATGTGTGATCAGACTCTGTTTCAAGAAATTTTAAATATTAACTTATTCAAATACAAAAATTGATATATAGAGCAAGGAGTTATAAAATAAAATATAAATAATAAATTAAAAACTAAAATGTTAACAATATTAAAATAAGTACCCATCTATTATCGCAGGTTAGAAAGTCTTTGTTATGTGATCAGATGAGGCTTCCAAACATTTTAAATTACAACCGATTACACTAAAGTGACATATAAATGGATTAATATATTATAAAATGAATATATTAAATCAAAATGCAAGTAAATATCACTATCATATAAGAACCTGATCAACTATGGATTAGGCCTAATTGTCAGTATAATTGGAATATAATATATATTGCCATGCCTGTGGTAGAGAAATGCTATCATTATTAATACATACACCTTTGAGGATGGCTCTATAAATTTACATAGCTTCAACAACTCAGTTAATGTCAGTTGAAAATTTTATGTGATATTTTAACATCATACAAACTAGGGAATACTCAGGACTCAGAGGTATTTTGGGCAAGTGCAGTAACATAGTTATCTTTGGAAACATGATGTTTTTTGTGTTCTCAAGTGATCTATAAGAGGATCCAATGTAGACAAGGTGTCTGTTGAATCTTATGTTATGCAAAGGAATTGTGTATATCAGTGTTTTTCAACCTGTGGGTTGCGACCCCCAGAGGGGTCGCAAAGCCTTACACGGGGGTCGCGGGTAAAAGAAAAAGACAAGTGTTTGTACGTCCTACACTACAATGAAAAAAACTACAGTTTCAGTGAGAAGGCTATACCTGTTTATTTTACAGTATACAGGTAACCCCCGTACAACACGGCACTTCTATAGCACGGATTCACTCTGACGCAGTTCGAGAATTGGGTAAAACCCTTGTACAACATGAAATGTAATAAATTTTTACATACTTAAGTAATAATGGTTCATGAAAATAATAATTTTTGTGAACCATTTAAGTATGTAAATTTTCTTTTCTCGCCTTCTGTCAATACACATGGTCCTTCTTGAAACTTGTTTCAATGTTGCCAGATCTCAACGCTTTTGCTTCTGATGTTGCCAGATGTTTTTCCCTTATTCCATAAGTGCTTAGCACCATATAAGGAAATTTATAAAGATCTTTTAACTAGAAGCAAGCAATCTAAAATGACATACTTTTTGCAAAAGGTAAAGCATGGGTCTGAAGATAATGCAGAAAAATGCTCAGAGGATAAGGATAACTTGCCAAAAAGAAAACGCTCTCGGTTAATTAATAGTGCTTTTAGTGATGATGAAGAAAACATTGTTTAATTTATATTAATATGTATCACTTAAGAAAATTTTAATAAAGATATTTGTCTTAATTATGAAAATATAATAGCATGTTTTTTAATTTTTGGAACCTAACCATCCTTTTCGTAGTAGTTCTTTGTTTCGTATAACTCAGATCTGCATAACACGACAATTTTTTGGAACGTAACGACTGTGTTATATGGGGGTTACCTGTAATTGGGTTTTCGATTGATATTTAGGTCTCAACAGAAAGAAAATTAAATATGTAGTTTTTAAAATCACTGATATAGTTTTAATATGGCCCTGGGGGTTGCCAGAAGTTTTTAACTTGCAAAGCGGTCGCGTATTCAAGAAGGTTGAAAAACACTGGTGTATATAACTGAATCTCTAAAGTTATTCACCACATCTTTTCCATTAGTTAGTAATTGTAATACATTGGGGCTATGATTATAAACCATATCAAGATTTAAATCCTGGCTATTTTTGTGTACACTCAGAGGTTTGGATCATAAGTAAGGATGATGTGTTTTTTTTGTGTGTGTCTGCTTGCTCCTCTGTAGTTATTTTTTTTTTCAATGGAGCATGCAAGTTTGTTGATTAGTGAAGTGTTATGTCCATGGGTAAATGCTGTGTTTAATACATTTCAATTCTTTTGTAGTGTTTGACCTAAGTAAACAGTGAGTTTAGGGCCTTTTGATGAGAGCCCTAAAAGCAGCAGTTTTATAGCATAATGGACCCTCTAAGATGAAGTGAATAAAAAAAAAGGGGATGAGAACATTTGTGATAAATGTGTTATTACATTTTTTTTGGAAAGCTCTATCTCTAGGCCTAAGTAGTGGATATTAGAATTGTTTTATTGATCCGAGCCTAGTGTTAAATCATAACCGTTGTTGTTAATTGTAAGTAAAAAATGATGGGTGTTAGGTTTGGTTTTCCATATTATTAAGATATCATCAATGTAGTAAAGTAGAATTTAGGTAAAAATCTTGGAACTATCTGATGTTCAAGAAGTAGGACAACTAAATAAAAATCAACACCTTTAAACATCCAGCAAATCGTTTTTTTAATATTTAAAAACGCTTTCGAACGCTTTAAGCGATCATCATCAGTTAACATTTGTGAATCGANGTAATGCGCGTGGTTGGAATATAGAACAAATTAATAAAATTGAATAAATAAATATTTTTAAAGAAACCTGCTGTAATAATTTGAACTTCCCAAAAAATATAAATATTGATTGATGGTGCCGTGCATAGTAATGGAATAAAATCAGAACACAAAATTATAACTTGGATTTAAAATCCATCACGGTCATAACTTCATTATCTTCAAGGTTAATGTTTCTGAGCTTGTCCACCAGTTGAACAGAGTTATTAATAGCATATGGGATAACTTGGATTGTTTAAATAAAGTTATCCATAGCTGTGGTATTTCCAATGTCGGCGCATTACATGGCAAAGCAGCAGATATGTAAAGGTTTTCCCATATGAATATTTGCCTACGATCATTGCAATGCTTAAGTAATTTAACATGGTTCCAAAGTGGAAGATAATCTTGTTCTAGCACCTTTTCGCTAATTCTGTGGCTGGTCTATTATTTCTAATGTCTTCTTGATGTTCGAGGATGCAGGACCGTATCATTCTGGTGGTAGCTCCAATATAGATAATTTCCTCCCCTTATATTGTATGTTTTAATAGAACTTTGCCTGAAGACGACGGTTGAACTGTAAAAACTGTTGAAAGTACTAGCGAGCACGTCTGAAATTTAACAAATCGCTGTCAATAACGTTGCAACACAGAAGTGTTATATTTTTAATTTCTAAACGCTGGCGTGAAGTGAACTACATTTTCATGCTCTTAAGCATTCCAAATTTTTGTATAGAACATTTTGACCTGAAGCAGATCCCAATTAGGATCGAAAGTACTTGTCAAAGTATATTAAAAATTTATTTGCTGGTTTAATTATGAAGGTTTGCTGGTGTTATTTACTATATAACCAGCTAAATAATGTGTAAGCTTTTATATAATGGCTTAGATTGACTTGCTAGAAAAATCAGGTATATGCCATACTTCTACAATTCCATTGTTTTATACAAGCCAATATTTGTACAAGCCAAGAAGAGCAATACATTGTTATGATAAGAAAATTGAACCAAAATAGATCTCATCTGTATTAATTTTTGTAAGATTGTAAAAAATTTTCTTATTTTAATTTGTTTTAAACTAAAATTATTTCTAAACATATGTTATTTTCATAAGTAATAGTTAAGTAATGGATGGTATAAATAAATATGATGCAAATTTTAAATGACTTTTTAGGCATCTTTTGCTTGGAGGGAAGAGAGGACATCTCGCTGTAATTGATTGGATGACTAAAAAATTATTTTGTGAAATCAATGTTATGGAATCAATACATGATGTCAAATGGCTTCATAATCCTACAATGTTTGCCACAGCCCAAAAAGACTGGGTTTATATTTATGATAACAAAGGAATTGAATTACATTGCATTAAAAAATTATATCAAGTCATTTGTATGGAATTTCTACGATATCATTTCTTATTAGCTACTTCGGTAAGAACAATTTGTTTATTATTATAGTTAAGATATATTTAACATTTCTTATTTAATAGTGTGTTACTTTCACTTTTTAAAACAAAGTTTGAAGTTTGTTATATAACAAAATTTATAATAAAATTAACAGTTATAGCAAAATTAATTACACTTTATGCCAAAGTATCAATTGTTATGCTATAATGTACTCACTGTCTTATGGCATTAAAAATAACTTTTTATTGATTAGAAAATATAGATTTATCATCCCACTGGTCCCCCAACCTATGCTGTGTAAGTTTTTATATAATGGCATAGATTGACTTGCTAGATAAATCAGGTATATGCCATACCTCTACAACACCATCTCTTGGGATGACAATCAACTACAGTGGGTTGATTGGTTAACGAACAGTTTGGACTGTGAACAAATCGGACAATAAACACTTTGGAAAAAGATTTTTATGTTCGGATAATGAACACCTCACAGAACAAACACAAGAAGAAGCAATGTAAAATAATGAATACCAATTGGTTTTCCATTGTCTCCAGTTGACAATTTGAAACCTTTCAGAGTGCATGAGATGTTGACACCGATGCTCAACCCGATACCGATTGGATAGTATTCTTTCGACCTTTGAAACACTCCATTGTTATTCCAGCCTTTTGTTTACCTTTCTGACAAAAGGAATTTTTTATAGTCTTTGCGAGACTGTTGGTCACTTGTTAAGTTTTGCATCAGTTTTTATTTTCGAAAGGTGAGAGTTTAACTGTTCCATTGGATATTCATTAATGTTTTAACACCAAATTTTGTATTCTGTCCAGGCCACACATTTAAGTAATGTTTTTGTGTGCTAGTTGATTTCTCTTTTCTAAATTTTTGTAAATGCTTTTCTGAACTTTTTATTTAAAAAAAGAAAGTGATAATATTAAAGACCCTAAAAGACTGGAGTGTCAAGAACTATGCTCACTGTAGGAACCAAGCAAGAGATAATAGCCAAGGTAGAGAATAGGCAGATGTCTGATGTTGCTATTATTATGGCTTGAACAATTATACAGTAGGTACAATCTTAGCTATGAAAGATATCATTGAGAATATAAAGCAGCCAAAGGAGTAACAAAAATCACATCTGAAAAACAAAGATGTGCGTGCCATCCATGAAAAAATGGATAGATTGCTTTTAATTTGGATTAAAGAAAAGGAAATGAAAAGAAAAGAGATGTAACTAGTATGACTATCATTCAAGAGAAGAAATTTTGAAGAACATTTGTTTCTTCAAAATTTAATCACAATTTAAATACAGTATTTATTTTTAATATTACCGATATGTCATCGAAAAGAAAACATGTTGTATTATCATTAAAAGACAAATTAAAGTATTTGTTTCGATTATCCAAATTTTTCCTTATCCGGAC